TTGGGGCAGATGTTTTCCAAGCATGCACATAGTGGGTGAAGGTGCAGCCTTCGGAGGCAATTTCTGCTTTGCGCAGGATCTCATCTCACACTCTATGTCGATCGGGTGGCCAGTTTAAGCGAGAAGCAGCATCTTGGACTGAATGGCATAGGCTCAGCAGAGAGAGTTTAGTTTATATAGTCTAGTCAACCGTCATGCTACTGCATGATGTGGTGGATTCCTTTTTGCCCTTGGCATGCAGTGTTGAGCCAGAAAACTTGAGAGAACAATGTGTAAATAAATGCCCTTGTGGGCTTCCTTTTGGCAAACCAATTTTTCAATTGCCACCGCGCACACGAAACTGGTTTGGTCCGTTCCATTTGCCACGCCATCGTGTCCCAGCTCCATTGAGGGCTGCCTATGTGATGAGGGACATGTTCCGGGCTGTTGCGTACATGCACAACGCCAATGTCGCTTGTTCTTTTTATGACGTCAGCGCGCTCTGTCTTTCCGCTCGATGCACAACAGAATTTGATCGAGGTGTTTTCCAAGTTGCCCAAATTGTCATGGTGCTCGTCAACCAGACTTCGCATTTTTTGGTCACATGGTGCACCGCAAACTTGGGTGACCCATGTGGGCGAGCATGCATGTGACGCCACCTCCTGGGTGGCCATTGAGGTCGCTCACCGCAGCTTGTCACAAGGAGATGGAAAGGAGACCAACGGACAATGTTTTAAACATCGCGCTGACGCTCCCCTGAGATGCTGCAGCTGCATCTGTAAATTGGGGTGACCTGCCCATTCGCATGGACACGTTCGATTTATAACCAGCAGTATGTGTGAAGGATGAGCGGATGAGCGCCTTTTTTGGGGGGATAGGACAGGCTGTTTTTGGATGATGGGTTCTTTGAAACATTTTGAAGCTCTCAATGTGCTCCCAATGAAAGAAGGCCGGATTTGCTTGCTTGAGCGCCTAGGTGACCTCAAGGGCGAAAACTGCCTGATGTTGACACAAGCACCTCCTGAAAGGACGAGTGGATGGCATATGTGACATGTGTGTACAAAAGCTTAATGCAAAATCTACAAAACACTTGCTACTAGTAGCATCCTTGCTACTAGTGGCGATGCACCTTGCTACTAGTCTTCAAGTCTGATTCAAGTCTTGTTCCGCACAATTTGAGACCGAATCGGGTCCATGGCTGGCAGGAATCGCCTCAAGCTCTGCGACTTTGGTTTGTGCCATGACTGTATGGAGATCCGAGATAATTTTGGAAAACAACGGGCTGCAAGCATGCAAACAAAGGAGTGTAGACTCAGTTTAGACTGTAGCTGCCATGCTGGGCCATGCTCATTGATCTTTTTTTTGTATATAATTTGACTTAATTATTGATTTGAACGCGGAGAAAGCACAACGGGGATAGGTGAGCGCTTGGGGGCGTTTTCCTGTCAACTTGTCAGCCTCAACACCAAGGTCAACCACCTTTGCTCCAGGCCTCTTGTGCAGATTGTGAGCTGTTGGGGAGGTCGCGTGAAACACTGGCTTCTTGACCGGTTGTGCATAGTGTACCTGCCTGTCCCTTTTCTGAAAGCAGGCGTTGGAGCTTACTCAAGAAACACCTACTTGTAGCCCTGTCCACGCTGTCAACAGCGACGAGCTTATCTAAAGACAGGACATTGAAAAGACTGTAAAAAACACACCTCCCCCGAACTCCGGCGTCGTTTTTGTTAATAGGGCGGGTCTCCCAAATAGGGGACCCGCAAAAGATCGAACCGTAGAGGCGGCTTGTCGCTAGTGAGGGGCACAGTGGGTGGTGATTCTAGTGGGTGGATCCTACTGTAATTGAAAGGGCACAAGAATAACGTTGTGTAGGCGGCAAAAATAAGCTCTATATAGGGGCCTCCGACATGAGGCATGTTTATTATATCGAATGCCATGCGTCTACTCGGCTGTGTACGAAGAGGCTTTGCACAATATGGATGAGTTTTGTATATTACTGTCGTATAAAGAGTTGTTTCGCAAGCAACTCGTCCAGGTCAAGCCGCACAAATACCGCAGCTGAGGCAAGCCCTTGAAGGGCCGAGTGGGCTCAATTTCCCACATTGCACCTGAAGTGCTCTTAAGCCACTTGGATTCTCATTCGATGCCACTTTGAGTGACTGGATCAGTGATCAGGCAAGAAAGGAAGTTGCAGGTTAAACCGTACAGCTGACAAACATGGTAACACGCCCCCACACAGCCCCGTGCTTGGGACATGTCTTTCTGTAAAATAATAACATGTCTATACATGTCTCAGAGAGCACTGGGTTTTTGTTAGTTTTGACAAAGGTCAGAAAGAGGTCATTCGAGGCCAAGGACGAACCGTTTATGTCCATTTAGAATTTATTTCCATGAGTTTCAGTAGAGAAAGCGACCTTTTTTCCCAAAACGTGTGTGCATGATCTTCGAAAGTGTGTGCGCGGGTGGTATCAGTTCTCAAGCATATCCAACATATCCAACACGCATCAACACGCTATATAGCACCGCCGAGTGCAACATTTGCAAGGGAATTCCGTTCAAAACTTACAAAAAGGAACTGTGAGCTACGAAAAAATGCCGCGCTGATTCAACCTAGCAAAATGCTGCTATTTAAGTGAACATGTAAAGGTGCTAACTTTCATGCCAAGTGCAACGACATCGTGGTTTGATGCATATCGTTTCCCCCAGTGGCCCTGCAAAAATCAGCAAACACCGCAACTACCACGCGAAAGTGGAAGCAAGGGGGCGAAAGCGTGACACCATGTGACACAAACATGGGCGATCTGGTTTTTGCTTCGCACTGATTGTGTCAACAAGATCACTCGCCATTCAGTCTATATAGTCCCGTCCGTCACCGAGCCAGACCAAGGTCCAGATAGCTACACCTGTGCATGTGACAATTGGAGTCCCAATCTCAGCCGTGATGCTTGCATTGTCAGTTTTCACCCACGGGGTTCGAACACATCACTCAAACAGTCGGTGCGACAGAACTCGCCAAATTCCATGATCGAACTCCACCCGAGTTCAATGTGGTAGGGACATGAAGCAACTACTGTCGAGGCTGCGGCATCATCTTCTACCACGTGATTTGCGGCTTTTTGCCTTACCATGACTGCAGCTTCTTTTGTTGCCACTGCCCTTTTTCGCTGCGCACGGGCCTGTCTCTTGAGCTTAAGCTTACTACCCGATAAAAGGTTGAGGGTGTCCAGTCAACATCAGTCAACAGCCGAAAGGGGTAAAGCATAGATGGAAGAACAAAACTCACCAAGATTCGGGTCAAAGCGAGCCCTGCAAGAATCAGGCTCATCAACCATGGCCAGAGCAGCCGAAAGGGGAGTACCAGACCCGACCAGGATAAGTCAGAGGAATGCCGCCAAAACCAAAGTCTTGCAGTAGGGCCGGAAATCTTTTTGTGAGGGTGGATCCGGAGCCCGCAAGCCTTTAGAACATCATTACACCGAAGTGACAGCCACTGCTTAAACTTTAAACAAATCCCTAGAAACCAACCACTCGACGTCACTGCTCTGCGTGCGAAATCCGGACACACCAGCAGCCACAAGACTCTAGAGTCACCATTCCCTTTTTCAAGATTCGGGTAGTGCAACCAAACACGCAGGAGGAGAAGGACGTCCTGAAGGGAAAGCTGTCCTTTGCCGACCGCCACTGGTGTACCTTGCCTGAGCTGGTGAGACACGTCCGAAATTGAATCAGTGCGGCTATTCGACTGCAACCCACGTGCGAAGTGCCCCTCTTTTCCTCCACATACCTTCAGCCGGAAGCCCAATTTCCTTCCAAGGCGATGTCTCCGAAGGTGCAGGGTTTTTTGTGGCTTGAGCTTGAATTGAAGGTTCTAGGACTCTAGGACACGTAGTTTTGGAAACTGTTAGCTCATGCAGTTTGAGTCGTGGTCACACACACATTATGTTTTCAGATTTAGTCTGGCTTGTAAAGATTTGATCCGATTTGGCAACCCTGCCAGAATGCTGCCGTCATGATCTCAGCTGGGATAATGTTTGACAGTAACTGATGAGAAGGCTGGGTCATGAAGGCTTGACCCTCTGAAGTGTGCAGATGCAAAACTTGGAGCCTGAAGGGTCAAACTATGTGACCCTGTGCAAACTCTAAGCAGAGTGGCCCAAGGAGAGTCAACTTTTGCTTCATGCTTGCCTGTGCCAAGGATTGGTGTCTAGGTTCGTCGAGAGGGATGTTGAGTGGCAAACTTGGATGTGGAAAGTGCTGAAACTGGCAAACCTTGTCCATGCAGTACTGACTTGCAGGAGTTTGAGCATGGACCGTCGCTGTTCCTCCATGCATCCTGCTCAATTGTTGCAGCTGACATTGCCATAGCAAAAGCGAGCACACTGTAGCTTTCGCAGCGCCTTAGCCGCTTAACCTGCTAGAAATAGCATGCACCAAGCATCCAGTGCAAGAGCCACTCCGATGACGCCAAAGAAACCAGCCAAGTAACAGGGATTAGCAGGGCATTTGTTTTGCACTCCTCGCTCTGATGGGTTCGAAGGCGTTCCTCAACTAGCACCGAGTCTGGAGGGGACTTTTTGTCGGGTCGCGCTCCAAGCGAGCAGCCGTGCCATGCTGGGCCGAAAGATCACATGCCGCAGAATTGGCGAGGCTTGGGAGCCAGGATCTGATGTCAAAATTCTAAGGACGTTCCATCCACGCCCAAGTGGTAGTTGACTGCCATTTGGTCACCCTCATGACTCACTACCCTGTTGGATTTACCGATCCCGTGTCTCAGATTGGGCGACTGGAAGCTCTGAATCGCCGACGCCCGAGTGGCGGGAGAGACGAGGCGTGACACGAGACGTTTGTGCGATAACTCGTGTGGTCCATGTTCGGATGATCCCTCTTTTTCTCAGCCTTGTCAGGCAGCGTGCCTTGCAAGGAGCAGGGTTGCAACCCTTAATGTCATTCATACGTTGCACTGCACTCAACTGAGAGCTGGAATGGGTTTCAAACTCAAAAATAGCGTTTACTCCTCCCCGCTCATGTCATTTGCTGCTCAGTATAGGAACCCCTCTTGCAGTTGCAACACCGAGAGATTACAGGAAGAAGCAGACTATGGAGATGAGGCTGATGAACAGGTGCCGCTTTATATTGCTTTCTGCGCTTCATGTCTCCAACAAACCGACGTTGGGTCCTGGGTTGGCCGCCTTGACTTGCTCACCGGAACATGCATCAGGACTGGCGTCACAGTCGAAAACGTGGACGTGAGGAGAACCAGGAGAGAAATTGTTTGTGGACAAGTCATGTCTTCATATTTGAGACGCCCCAAAGAACCAGCCCGGGTCCCACCTTGGGTCGTTTTTTGCAAAGGCCTAGAGGCCTAGCGACTCAGTGCAGCTTCGCTGGGGACCGCAGGAGATCCCGGCCAATGCTCCGTGGTGGTTGCGCCTTGGTGCTGCCCGGCAGGAGGAGAATCGCAAGGACCGGAAGGACCAGAAGGACCGGAAGGATGCGGATGATCCTTGGCTGCATTGGTCGAGGGCCTCCGTCCAGAAATGTCCAGAAAGTGAAGGTTCCGCACAGGTAGCACAAAAGGTTTCATAGTGATGATCCTGACTCGGGTTTTGCGTTCTGGCACCGGAAGTTCTTGGTGTTTTGCCGTCACTGCAGGCTCCACGGACCACCAAAAGAAAGTAGGCAGCAGAGTTGACGCTGAGCATGTCAGGACCCGTCAACGCCGGCAGAGCCCTGGTGGATGCGAAGGGGAACAGGCTTAGGATGGCTGCCCCATGGTGAGGCTTGCATGACCAGTTTGAGTCAACTTCAGTTCCTAGTTTTTGAGCTTGTGCAATTGTCTTAGCAATTGACGACAGTTTTCGCCTTGCCCCGTTCCTTCCCAAAAGTTGAGGGCTCGGGTTAGAGCGTGACAGGAACTCACAGGTGGTTCCAGGTTGCACTTCACAAAAAACGTTGGCCCCCAACAAATCTGTTGGCTGCCCCTTCCGAAAGCAATGCAGGCTGGGCCACCAAAAGACGAGCACCTCAGTGGAGAGGACTATTTTTTCCGCAGGGTTGCTTTAGTGAGCTGTGGCGTTCAGTGGTGTTGAGTTCAGTCTGAGATGCCAACAACATGTTAGATGGACGACGGCGATGCTACCATGTTTTGTGAGGATACGCCTCCACTGGGCCGACCAGCTTCACTGCATGGCGAGGTGAGGACTCGAAGCTTTTGAACATCGTTCGTGATTCTTCTTTAGCCAGCACTCAAGAATACTCAAACACAAAATCAGGAGAAAGAGCCAGTCTGTCGATTTAAGTGCTCCTGCCAGGTAACGCCACCTTTGCCCAATGAAGATGAGGGGAGTGTGACTCCGCCGTTGCTGGATGAGGGAAGCGTGACCCCGCCCTTCAAGGAGGAACCCGAAGGCCCTGCGGAGGCGACTTGGCAGCTTCTGCGCGTTTGGATTTCATATAGCCCAAATATGATCAGATATGTAACAATGTACAGTCCAGTGTAGCATTGTATAATCGCGTTGAATTTGAACAGCCATGCCAGCATCTTGATGTTGTAGGGCTTCCAGGGATGTGCACAGGTGCCGACATTCTCAGAGCCCTCCAATGGCTTGAAGCGTGGCAGGCGGGGCTCTGAGAGTCTGGGAGGCTTCAGGCTGTGTCCATTGCCCCAGGTCGCCGCTGAGACCACCTCACCCACCGAAGCCACCAGCACATGTGGAAGTGGAGGGTATGGTCTTGCAGGCTCGAGAGCCATGCATCATGATGTACATCCGGGAAGAGACCCACATGGAACCTGGAAATGGACCTTTGGAAGACTATTTTCTTCTACAACCCAGCGGTTTTCAGGTTCCATGTGGGTCTCTTCCAGTGTGCATCCATTGGTTCTCAGGTCTTTGCAGTCACTTGCGCCACTTCTCCAGGCCCTCCGTGAGAAGGATTCCACCATACCGCAGAACTGGCCAGCCATCGTTGCTGCTGCTTATGCGAGCCTGAGCTTAGTGTGTGTTTGTGTGTCAAACCCTGTCTTCAGGGGACCAACCAGTTTCTCGCTTGACTTCGATTACAGTTTCCTTTTGTCAGCAGGGGTAATGTGCACTCCTTGACAAACTCAGTGCAACGAAGCTATGCCTTGTAATGGGATGCACAGATTGATCACCCATGTGCACCTGCGGTTGCACTGCCGAGACACTTGAACCTATGTAAAGACAACGCCATTTAATTCTGTGTTTTTGCATTAGAGGGCGAATGCATTAAGCATCCACCAATCAAATTCAATGCGGAAAGTGCTCTCCAACCCCCCTGCTCAGTGCCTAACGTTGCTGTCTGAATCCGGTACAAAAGCGATTTCTCTAGCTCTGGCCTGAGACCAGTGTCTCTAGTATAGCCTAGTATAGCTCACACCTGTCTCCTTGGCGCCACTTGCACGGCCCTCAGGCAAACGTTTCTTTCCGACGGCATCAAACACTCAGTTTTCAACGTCACTCTTGCAGCCCATTTCTGCGGCATCCCCACCAAGCCCTGCCAGTGTCAAAGTCCTATCAGCCTATCCGTGCATAACTCCTCTTTTGCGATGCCTCTTTTGTGCTCCCCCTGCAGTCGGCTGGGGTCGGCGGACAATAAGAGTCAATAAGTAATATCACCTCAACCAGTAGGACTCAGGGTTGAGTTGAACTTGTTCATTTTCCTGATTTTTGTGCTCACAATTGAGCAAGCGCATCTTAGGAACGAGCATGACAGCGTTCAGTGGCTCATCAACTCCAAGGCCAGGAGGGCCAGGATGCTCTGCATCTCAAGAGCTTCTTCAGTTCTGAATTGGTTGAATGCTAAGTAAGCACAAGAACCCTCGCGGTTCGCAGGGTGGCATGTTGCGAGTTGAGGGTAGGAGAGCGAAGGAGGAGATGGAGGAAAGGGGAGGAGAGGAGTGGAACGGAGAGACCCTGACCTGCTACTGAGATTTGTGTGAATCCCTTGCAAAGTTTGAGCGTGGAGAGTGTTCTGATAGACCAGGCGTGATTGTGGTTGAATACCTCCGACATCCTCCGACAGCTTTGGGACTTCCTTGCATTGGCAGGTGGATGTGAACGCTGCAAATTCAGCAAAGTCGAGCGCTCTGTCGCACGCAGTTGCTTGGCGGTTCTCGTTGCTGGCGTATTGTTCACTTAAAAGAAGACATGCCCTCCAAAATTTCCTCAACCTCGGGTTCAAAGAGTTCAGGGAACATATCTCACATTGTTCTTGCTCTTCATATATATATATATATGTTTTTTTGTTTCTGCATATTGTTATAGTCTCCCTCAATGCTTGTCAGCCAAGGTTTCGAATCAAAATGTGCCACTTTGCAAGCACTTGGGTTGCGGACATTCAACCGTCAGATACAAGGTGATTTTAAGCCTTGCCCGTAATTTTTCTTGGTCTTTGCTTTCATTCCATGCACACTGACCAGAATTCTAAGAATGCACGACTGCAATGATTCAGAACACTCAAACAACTAAGGCGTATGGTCCACAGTTTACTGGAAGGGAGAGCTGATCCAAATCACATCAAGAAGAATGCCAAGGGAGTCAGGCAGAAGAGTGAGTTGTAACGTGAGATGGAGTGGGATGGCTGCGTGCCAGCGAGAGCGAGAGCTTGGGCCTGTTTGGACAAACGCAAGGGATCGAACAGGCTTTGGATTATGATTTTCTGCTGGTTCTGGTAGACCACAATAGAAGAGTAGAAGATGCTTTGACTACCAGGTTTTGGAGGAGATGTACTTGGCACTAATGAATCGTAGGTTGCTGTTGGGGATACCTTAAGCTTCGGCTTACTATTCTAGGCAGTGGTATGTGTGTGTGTGTGCGTATTCCACGTTAGACAGGCGTACCTTGCTGGATGTGGCTGAGAACGATGGGGCGCCCCCACCGATTATCAACATGCTACTGGAATGAATTAGAGGCGCCTCTGAGGCTTCGTCCTTGATGCCCTTGTTACCAGTAGCCATGGCCTCCAACCTAGTAGCGTCCTTGTTCCTAGTAACGATGGCCTCCAGCCTACTAGCTTCTTGCTACTAGTAGCTTCTTGTTCCAAGTAGTAATGCCAGGAGCTACTAGTAGCTTCTTGTTACTAGTAACGATGCCCTTGTGATTAGCAGCTTCTTGCTACTAGTAGTAATTCCCTTGTTGCTAGTAGCGTCGTCCTTGGCAAGTTGAATTTGCTTTCAACATAGCTTGCCGAGATCGGAGATCCCAAGTTTCACCCCTCTTCTGGACAAAAGCTCGTTGGGTTGACAACGATGATTGCCAAAGCTAGCTCTAGCTGTGAGAAGCTGCAGTTGTGCTGGCTTCTGCACAAACAATTCATTTTTGGTCTCGGCGCATCTTATATACATATGTTTTGCATCCGATTGACCGATTGACTCCTGTTTGCTTGTTTATTTGATGTTCACTCATGCGTTCCTCCAAGCTCCTCTGTCTTTGGCAGGCTTTTTTGTCCAATGCTCCCTGTAGTCGAGGGAACATCGAGGGCCCAAAGGTCCATCCACACTTTGCCCAGGTTGGAGATTGCCGGTGGCCGCCGTTTTTCACATCTGGACGGGACTAGCGCTTCTTTTGTTCGTTTATGTTTGCATTCATCGAAGCAACAGAAGCGCAGAGAAGCTTTTTATGAACCAGTCGCATCAATAGTTTGCATGTGATTAGTAATCTTGAGAGGCTTCACATGAGCTGAGATGAGAGCCCCTGGCGCAGGACCGCCACGGAACGCAGGCTTCTGGCCATCATTTTGACCCTATGCTTCTCGCCGTAGCGGCGGTGGAACTTCGGCTAACAGTGTTAGAGCGGAACACACCACCCCGAGCAGCCAGAAGCCTTTTGCTTGTCTGCCAAGACACTCCCGAAAAGGAGTTTGATGGAAGCGGTCCTGATATAAAAGCCTGATGCTCTGTGGTTCACTCTGTCACATGCAACTATGGGGCTCGGCTATACATGTCACTGCAGCATAGACATGCATTCTTATATGATATATAATGATATATATATATATAAAATGATTTACTTGCTGAACAGTTTTGCACAGTAGCCTTTGCAGCAGGACCTGAACACAATGACAAATATGACAATGCGTATAGATATGTTTATCCTTTGCGCGGCTCAGGGCTCTAAACATAGGTATGCTTGTTTGGTCTCGTCTGAAACTGGCGAATAAGCTCGTGGGATCACACTTTATTTTCGTATTAATCACGAAAGGTAGCTTGAGTGAGCTACCTGAGTTCTCCTTGCTTTAGCAAAAATGTATTACAATCAGGAGTTGGGATTGTGCATTGAGTTTGGTCCTGTAAGAGTTGATTCTGTTCGTCGGGGGGGGGGGGGCCCCCCCCCTGGATCAAATCCCCCCTGCGCCGGTTCACGCCGTCATGGACTTTTAACAGGGTTGCTTGTGATTGCTTGCTACCTTTCGTTCACCCCCTCCTCTCTCAATTTGCTTGTTTATATCATTCAGTATGCCTCTTTAAGCAACGTTATTAGGACGCTATTAGGTGGAGGCCATCGCAAGTAGGTCGGAGGCCATCGCTACTAGTGGCAAGAAGCAAAGCTACTAGGGTGGAGGCCATCGCTATTAGGTGGACCCTTTAACGCGCACCTAGAGGGCCCAACATGACGTTTGTGCATGATTCATGTATAAACTGCAATCGTGGATGCGCATACATGACTAATGTTGTTTATATTATTGTATAAGGTGTCAATAGTTATCCTTGCTGTCAACAAGCCCGCTACCCTTTTTTTCATCCTGTTGGAAGGGGTAGGTATATAATATTTGCACAGGCTCAGCACAGAGTAAGCCTGTAAGCATGTTGAAAGGAGTGAACTTGTGAAGTTGGAGGCCATCGCTCGGTTGGAAGCCATTGCTATTAGGTTGGAGGCCATCGCTAGTAGTTTATTAGGTTGGATCCATCCGGCCTTTTCCAGATTCCGCTATCCCGCTAGCCTCAGGAAGGCCAAAGGCCCCAGAAGCGACCCAGACTGCGCCAGTTGGTGGAGGAGGACGACGGGAAGTTTTTCTAGCTGTGGCACAGATACTTTGCACAGCGTTGGTTTCGCATGAGCTGACTCGGCTCTTCTGCAGATGGTACTGCTTTCCCTTCTCTCTTTTGCCTTGTGTTCACCCTGTGCTCATTTCCCGTAGCTGCAACCACGCAGTCCTGTTCTCCGTGGTGACCCCAATTCTCACCGACCATCAGGCAGACTCGTTCCACAGCATGCTCACGAGAATTCGTGAGTCCGACATGGCCAAGAGTGAAGCCTCTTCTCCTTCGACTCCACCTCTGGAAGCTCAGCTGGTGAATTACTTGGCTCCTCCCCAGTCTGTAAACGGCAGGATGGCTGTAGGTTTTTGCCACATGCCAAGGAGAAGCCCGGCAGTGCTTATGCTGAAAGATCTGCATTCAAGAAGGCATATGCCAGGAAGTGCCTGAGCTGCATTCCAGGAAGAGATCAATCTTGGCCATGTTTGCCCTTTGAATGACTGCCTTGCCCAAGATGATTGTCAGAGATTCAAGGGAGGCTTTGTGAACTTGCGGATGCAAAGGATGCTCCCACTGGTGGGTGAGAAGCCGATCTTGGACTTTTCTGCTTACAAGGGGGCATACCAGACCAATGTCAAGGCCACCGCATCTGGGCCGCATTCTTTAGCCAAGCAATTAAATAACCATTCAGTGGTCAGAGCTACAAGTCTACATGGCTCCTTGGCAAGATTTCATGTAGCCACCGACACTTTTGAAATGTTCAGCACGTGAAAGGAAAAACACATCTCAGTCAGGATGGCTTTTCCTTGGCACTAGCACAGGCAGAGGTGCGCCCAGTGACTGGCCTCCTTGAAACAAAGTAGCGTCACAGAGCGACAGTGGAATGGTCCGTTGCAAGGCAGAATAATGAAGTAGACTGAATTGGTGAGATGAGTGCGTTTATTGGAGGCACCAAGACGCATCTACGCTGGACTAGAGCTCCCTGGTGTGCGCGGCTTGAAGCACCACGAGGAGAGGAAAGATACCGCTTGGAATCACAGACTTTGTAGGAGCCGGTAACCACAGGATGGTTTGCCAGTCTTTCCTAATTGTTTGGAAGCGTACCATCGTTAGTTGTAGCGAGGCTTTCTTTTGTTGCGTAAACCGTTGGAGATTTGCCTTGAGGCGGACCGCTGGCGACAAGGTATTGGAGCTGGATTTCAGCTGGATCGCGTCAAGGATGAAGACGAGAAGTCTGACCCTTTGAGAGCAGCTTGGGCAAAGACCACCTGAAACTACTTATATACTTGTCTTGATATGTCCTGCATGCCTGACCCCTGCAACCAAACTTGTCAGGTGCCTTCTGCAGTCCTAGACTCTAGACGGGCAATGAGAGATGTTTCCACCCCATGACAGGGATTACTGCATGGCCATCCAGAAGAGCCCTCCCAAACGGGCCATAGCATGGTCATCCCATATACGACCAGGGTTTTCGACATTTTCGACCGACGTTCAGGTTTGAAGGAAACTTTATGGAACTGACTTGCTACTGTCTGGCAGGATGGCATAGCGGCATAGCAACATGCAGCGTGACATGTATGAATGTCCTTTCCATGAGGCGATCTATTCTAGCAATCAAACAAGCAGGGCAGTATAAGGGGTTTCACCCGTGGGTTCAATGAATATCACCCGAAAAGATCAGAACGCTGCAACAAGTTCTTCACTTGTTTATCAGTTGTTTCAACTCTTGGGTGCACTTGAAAACCTTGCATTCCTGGCGGCTCTCATGGAAAGACCCAAGTGGTGGCTGAGGATCCTTGGGGCTGTGCATTGGCTGGGAAGCAGCCTCTGGATGAGGAGGAGAAGGTGGATGAGGAGGAGGATTGCTGCAGGGGAATGCTGTAGTGTAGTAGTAGACACTGCGTCAACATTGGCAATCACAGCCCCACAGGCAACCTACCATCGCTATCATATCCCATTTTGCCTGTTCCGTTTTCCGCCACCTGCAGCTCGATCTTGAGCTGCAGGAGCGCTCGCCGCAGCCCAAACGCCGCCCAGCGCCACCGGTCAAGCCGCGCCCACCGGTCTCGCCGACCACGCCGGTCTCGCCGCCGGTGAAGGCGCCGCCCGTGTGCGCCAAGACGGCGCCACGGCCGAAGGCGCGGCCGGTGCCGCCTGGGCAGCCTGAGCAGCTTTTGGCCAAGGCACGGCCGGGCACCTCGGTGAAGGAATGGTGCTGAGCCTAAAACCGATGCAGAGGGGGTTTAGCTTCACTGGAATTACTGTATGTGAGCCCACATTGTCGAGATAGTAGTGTTTGCTAAAGAGGGTAGGAGATGGTAGGTGTGTGATCCAAGCCCAGGTAGCCAAGAAGCTGACGACTGCGTGCCTGGACCAGGCCTCCCACATATGATTGTGTTGATGTAGCCATTTGGCATAGCCATCTCAGAACATCATTTCATGATATATATATATAATTACACACGTAGTTTCAGGAATCGTACCGCACAGTTGCGCAGCGGAATGTGTCCAAGATCCAAGACGTACAACCTACAGACGTATTTCTTGGTAAGTAAGTACCTCATGTTGAAACAGTTCGCCGCACCACGACAATGCCCGATCACGTCACCTTGCCAAATCCTGAATTGGGGCTTTATTTCTGGACAATTCAGTTCTCCTGCTTGCGAGTCAAAGAGCGAAGATTGATGCAGGTGCTGTCAAGGTCGAACCAGAACCTCCAGGGCTTGTCACTTGGACCTTTCAATGGAGTGCTTCCCATTGTGCGTGAACTGAGTGAATCAACTACTGCATGTCACTTATGTCACTTACCTGCAATACATATACTGTATATATACACACAGTATTTATAATGCAGTACATTATATATTATATATATGATCTAGTTGTTTGTCGCCATAATTTTTGTCAATGGCACAAGCTAAAGTCGTTGTGTTTGCTCAATGGTCAGAGAAGTAGGTATGAGTGCAAAAGCCGTTGGAGCTTTCTTGGGCAAGGGCAGGGCTCACGTCGTTGGAACGTTTCGCCACCCGGGCACCCCGTGATTGGCGAAGGTAAAGGCCAAAGCCATGCCTCGCAAGCCTGAAGGTGGTTGCCTTAGCATAGCCCTGCTTGCAGCAGAGGTAGTAAACGGGAGTCCAGTCATTCAACCTCTACCCCACCAGCCCGGAGCAGAGCCAGCTGGCTCGCGGTGAGGCAGAGAGACGCGCGACATCATGCGGCTATTGTGTGTGTGTGTGTGTCGAATATTTGTACTTATATACAGAGATAGAGGTAGATGAGACATCCAATATATATATATATATTTATTATCAGTTTCCAGTGCCCCTGTGTAGTATGTGACATTCCAAGGTGCAAATGGTGCAAACGGCCCTCCTGAGGAGGAAGCTGGTGAGATTGGCACTTTGGTTCAGACTCGTCGCGGAGTCGCTATGACATTTCTTTTGATTGGGCAAAGAGGGGGGGGCGGTGTATTGATGTCCAAAGAGAAATCTAAAGAGTTTTGTTTTCAATGTGTTTATGTCAATTCTTTTGCTTTGCAAGAACCTTTGGAGAAGTGGGGCGGATGCGTAAGGTGACAGGCAGATGTCTTTGGCCGACCTTCCGCGACTGCTGGAAGAAGGCCCACTGACGGTTTGAACCCAGCTTGGGCCAATTGAAAACACGAACGGCTTTTTTGAAGAAATTTGCCGAACTGCTCAAGCCAAGACATCCCAGAGTGCTTGTGACCAGTGGAATCTAGGATGAAACTGATGAAACTGAAGGGGAGGACGCTTTGGAAAACCAACTCCTGGCAACGGAGCCGCCGCAGCTGGCTGTTGACAACAAATCAGCATAATAGCGGCTCTTGAGATGTTGGTGTTGGGTCCTGCTCCTCAGGCCAAGCTAAGGCGGAAGATGAGGAAGTCGAGGAAGCCAAGCCCAAGGCTGAAAGACAGTGGTTTGCGCACATGTGTGGAAGGCAGCAGTTACAGGGTATTTTGTAAATATGAAAGTGAGCCATTTGGCACTATTATTGCCAAACAGCACCGAAAGCTGGGGCTGTTTGGCAGGGATGCAGCACACGGCAAGAGAAACCAAAACATCGGTGTGTTGGGAGGTAGATGCGAAGGTGAAAGTGCCAGCCGCTGCCTTGCCACCGATCCGCAAGCTGATGGGCTTGGAGGACTCATTGGATAATACGTGATCCTAGCCATCCTGGCCATTCGACTTCTCCCTCGGGCCAGGCCAGTCAAGAAACATCACCCTTGACAAATATATCGGACCATTAAAAAAATACATATGTTAAACACAATTGCCACGAACTTGCAGGGGATCAAACTTGTGGATGAACTTTCATTTGTTGCTTCTCTTCTAAGCGCTTGTTTGTCCGCTTTCGAGGATGCACGCCTCAGTGAAGTGCAAATGGAGCTTGTGAAAGAACTAGCCGCTCAGCTCACCAATGATGGATTTTTTGACAGTCCCCTTGCAGCTTGACAGTTCCTTTGGTCAGTCCTTCTTTTAGGTGTAAATGTTCACCCTAGTACCGAAGTTGGCTGTCCAAGCCAGAGGGTTGTCATGCGCATGCCGTCCGGGAAAGAAGAGTACTGAACCTGATGGATGAACCAACCCATTCCACAGAGAAATGTTTGGGACCTTTCCTGGTTCCCGACCACCTTGCTGAACTGTGACTTTTGACCCCACCTAGTGAGTCTACTAAGGCAGAGAAGACAGATGCCACAGTAGCTGGTAGCTTTTGATTTTACAAACTTGTTGCCCCCAAGTGCTCGGGCCCACTATTCGGCTGCAGGTTGTCATTGTAGGAAAGATTGGCTTTGCCGCACAGGCTTTTGCAGAACAGGCTTTTGCACATTAGAGTGCGGTTTTGCATGATTTTGCAAAGCGGAGCCTGCTTCAGTCTTTTGCAGTGGCAGTATTTCGACATTTTTGGATATGATCCTAGTTGTACGTATATATATATATATCAAATGTTGATTCTTTTCTTGGGTCGTTGGCATGAGGGGCTAGACGGCTAGACGAAGCACCACTTCAAGCCCGACTGGGCATTGCTGTGCTCCTGGTTGCCTGTACAGTCACCGCTGGCACTCAGGCAGGTGGCTCGAAGTTTCATGATCCAGCTCGTGATCCTTCAGCATACCGAAAACAAGCACAGAATATGTGCAACATGACAGCAACTAAACATAGGCTTCGGCCACATGGACCTCTATTTGTATGGGACTTTGGATTGTTGTTGCCAAGCGCCAAATGGAAGATTGGCTGGAATTGTGCACTGCTTCACTATTATGTGAAAGACTGCCGGCAGCCATGTTCCGTGTTCTCTTCACGTTACACCATTTCCTCCGATTTTCTCCCAACGCACACACGCACATTTGTGAGAGCAAACCCTATCTTTGCCCGGCCCAGGCTTGATAGAAGTTAGCCAGCTCAAGTTCTGTCACAAGGACATTGGCCGGGCCCTTGGTGAATGATCATGTAGGATCTCTACACGAGATAGCAATCCTTTTGTTTGTTCTGCAGGGTTAAGGTGCACTGTGATGGCCTTTCTACTTGTGAGGACCTCTATGATTCGATATGGTTGTTTTCTGACATGAGCAGGTGGGGTCAAAACCTGACAAGGCCCGCGCTTTACCCACGGCAAGCATCGTGGGCAGCCTGTGCTGAAGCTTCTCGAGGATCCTGCATGCCAGCGGCCTCTTTGCCAATTGTTCAGGCAATGAAAGGTCAGCATCAAAAGGTTCTGCAATCTTTGTGCGATCATTTTCCGCCTGAATGTAGTAGGACCTTCATGCGAGACGAATCGATGCTCAAGAGCTTGCTCCTTTGGTGGTGATGCGCAACAAGGGAGGCTTGCAGCTCGACTGGATTTCTCCAGCTCAACGGCCAAACCATGAATAGAAGCATCAAGACAATTTTTTTGGGAAGTGGCAATGTGACTCAATGACTCAACTGCAAGACCGAGAGAGAGAGAGAGAGAGAGAGCGAGAGAGAGTGAGTGAGAGAGTGAGTGAGTGAGAGAGTGAGAGAGTCCTTTACATTGAACATCAATGCGGACCCCAGTGGGCCAGGATGGAAGATATTGATTCCAGGAACAGGCTCCAAACACTGAACTAAGTAGACAGACTATATACACTGGGCCACAGATAACACTGAACAGCCTGATTTATTCCGGCCAACGTTGTTGATCTTAGGCAGGTTGTGTGCGGAAACAGGAGGCTCTATTGCTTGAAGAGGCTTCCGGGTCGAAGCATGCCGTAAGAAGCACTCGCCTTTAGATGCACATTATTGATCCTTGAACTTTACTGTAACTTGCTTGTGATGGGCAAGAAGGGTCACCGTATGTCATTTGCTGTGAAACGCACTGCTTCGAGATTCAAACCCACCGGAGAGAATTGAACAGACGATGCAGAACCCCAGCTGCCAGTCAGCTCTTGCGATCTCTCGCGCGTTGTGCCCTGGCTCGTGACGATGCCGAACCTCGACGTCAAATGCTGGTTCAATTGTGTGGTGCAGGTATGCCCTCGAAGCATCTCGCACAGTGGATGCATGGTGTGTCGTGTATGACCTCAAAGCGAAGGCGCTCAGTGCATTTCTTCTTGTTTTAGTGTTCACCTGGCCGGTTTGTTGGTCTTTTTACAGGACACTCCCCGCCCACTGGTCTTCAAGCCGCTTGGAATGGAAGCGTCCTTCAGTATTGAGAGTGACCGGTTGAAGTTCAGTTCGGCATGTGCGTGCAGGTACATCCTGGCCACCACGACAGAAGATGCAAACACCGTGAGTGCTAGGAGCTTCTGAAGGGGCACCACAGCATGAATGCGTAGTGCAGCTAGTAAGAAGTCTTTTCAATGATTGAATCATGTTGAATTATTGGTCTCACTTCTATGCGGTTCATGCTTGCGGCCAGCGCCCAGCTCTGGTCTCGAACGCGGATGTTTAGCATCTCAAAGGCGTCTCAAAAAGACTTTTTGGATGTTTAGCTCTCCGCCGACCACTTGTTGAGTTGGATGACGTGTAGGTAGGCGCACCAGGGCACATCCAGCTTTGATCTCTCAAGGATGCTTGTGCTGATGTGTTCTTTTTTAACAGGTCCACTTAACTTAGTCCACTTGCAATGATGCTGAGGAAGCGAATGACCGCGCAAGAAGCCTTGTCACACAAGTGGTTCCTTGAGAATACAAAGGCGACCTGGTCAAACACTTGCTGTATCTATATTATTTGGAGGATTTTGAAGCTTTGGATTGACTTTTCACACTCCTGAAGGAGAGCGGCTGTTTTGCCAACAGCACCCATACATACATTTACACAGATACATAATGATACATAGATACATGCATTACATACATACATAGATAGATAGGTACATATATAGATCGCCTAGGTACATGCATACATAGATACATAGATACATAGACACATAGATACATACATACATGCATGCATCGATAGATGGATGGATAGATAGATAGATAGATAGATAGATACAGACAGGCAGGTAGGCAGGCAGGCAGACAGACAAACAGACATACATACAGACAGACAGCCAGCCAGCCAGGCAGGCAGGCAGGCAGACATGATTGAACGTTCAAAGAACGTGCCTCGTCGTGAGCGACCGCGTGGTGGCGGCTCGAGACCCCGGTTTTCGGGTGGTGGGGGGAGCCAGCGGCGCTGCCATGGAAGCGCTGGATAAGCCGGCCCTCTGTGGTAACCTGGCCGGGCTCACTGACCTTGAGGTCATGACGCTCTTCGAGATGGGGTGGTCAGCGACCCGGCTAGCTGCCTTAGAGGGCCAGCCTGAGGAGACTTGTTTGTTTCCGTGACAGAGCGGTGAGAAGCAGGAGAACTTGATCGCGGACATCGATGCCCCTGGGTTCCGTGAATATCCACCGATTGGATGCTGCGAAAGGGAGCCAGGCTCTGTCGGATGCCCGTATCATCCATCAGAGGCAATGCAGGAAGAGCGCATTCGAGTCGAGGAGGTGGTCACTAGTGTGCGGAGAGCAGACATTGGCACGCCACGCGCGGCACGTTAGCCAACGAGGTTGGGGCGCTCACTTCACATAAGCGGAGACGAACTCGTCGAAAAGAGAAACAGAGAGCGATGGCTGGGTGTGAGCTCAAGACTCAAGAAACTCATTCAAGAAGCCGGGCTGCCAGTGGCGCTGCCCATGAGGATTGCGAAGGACAGGGGTCCGTTGACTTTGAGAAAGCACGTGCGCACCTGAATCCAGATCGCGCATTGGATGAAGGCAACGTTTGACCATCCCCGGCCGACTAGAGCAACAGAGTTTGCGGATTTCTTGGAGGCACAGATCAGGGAACCGTGTGCCCGCTCGTATCCGGAGTCGGCCTTCAAGACCTTCATGTTCATGGAGTGGGCCGGGGAAGTGACTTCTTGGAGCAGGCGGCAGCGAAGGGAGTCGCGCTGGTCAGAATGATTCAAGGTGTATGGGGAGAAAGTGAATTGGGCTGTCGAAGGCACCGGTGAGGAGCTGCAGGAAATCTTGGCGGAAAACTCTGGTCTGGCGGAGGAAAGTCACGAGGACACCAAGAGGCAGGTATTGGAGGAGGTGGCAAAGGGAACCATGTTGTCCGAGGCAGGGGCCAAGAAGAAATCTAATTATGGTGGTCGCCTGGCCGTGGCTGAAGGACCCGAAAACTTCCAAAGTCCGTGTGATTCAGGATGGAACCTGAAGTGTCGGTGTGAGTCGGAGATAGTCGGAGGATCATGTGGACAGGATGAGATTCCCGTTGGTAGATGAAGCAGCGGCCATTTTGAGAAGTCGGGGAAGAGGCGAAACCTGGGAGGGGCTGGAAGCAGTTTGCAGTCGTCTCACGCTGAAGGACTCTTGTGCACAACCCCTTTGAGGAAGGCTTCACCGTGAGAGTGAGTGACGATTGAACGTTCAAACAACGTGCCTTGTCATGAGCGACCGCATAGTTGCGGCTCGAGACACCCATTTCAGCTGCCCACCATCCACCCCATTTCACCACCAAGAACCATGGATTCGGTAAGGTTTCCTGTATGGATGCAAGGGGTCTCGAAAGGTCCACGGCCATGGTGTTAAATGTGTGAACCTCATGCGGGGAGCCGTTGGCAGTGGTCTCATGCTGAAGAACTCTCGTGTGCAACCCTCTTAGTGAGTGACGCATATGTTACATCACATACATTCATACATACATACATACATGCATAGATGCATAGATGCATACATACATGCACAGATGCATACATACATGCATACATACATACATACATACATGCACACATACATACACGCATGTGGCCGAACTGGTCAAGCAGAGCTGCACAAAGTTCCCATAGTGCCAGGCCCAGCCAAGCGACCCTCCTCCCAGAGTAGCAGATGCGGAGAGAGCACGCCTTAGAGTCGGCACGCATCGGACGTAGTCGGGGGAATCGGTCAGTTGCTCGGTCACTGCGACGCACAGCGCACCAAGAGGGTGATGCTGCAAAGGGGGCCGCTTGTGAAACTGTAGATCAAAGGCAATGTCTTGTAAAAGGTGAAACCACATAAAGAAGCAAAAGGAGTGCAGATGAGCACTTGTATATAGTATTGATAAAAAAGAAGGAGAACCCAAACCTTGTGGCCAAGCACTGTGCCAGATTGATAGCTGGCAATGCCATAGAGCAGGTATGCAGATTCTACAATTCCTTTTCTTCATTAAGCGCGATCCTTCGGAACCTCCTCAAGAATAATGGCCCATTCCATTGGAGGGCATGGGCAGTGCACCAGCTAAGGCACAAACACCTTGGATGGGACGCCATCGAGCTCAGCCTCTTTTAAAGAGATATCGTTGGATGTCCCAGACTATTGCTTGCAGTTGGACAAGTTAGGACGTCAGTTCTGAGCAAGGAATGCGGAAGAGAGGAGACAAAAGTTAAGTTTCCCTAAACCACATGAAGAGCATGAACTTTCCTGCGTCCATACTTGTAGCTTCCTATTCCTATTGGGCTACCTCTTCTTAGCGGCCTACCATGGCCACCCCCAAAAAAGTATGTTGTTTCTCCCGTGCTGAGGTATGCAGAGAGAGTCCTGAGGCGAGATGACTTATGGGGAAGTCACGTTTATGCCCCCTTATGAGTATTCCAGAAGGACCTTGAGCCAACAAGTTGTGGCACGAGAGACAATTGCTGGCATATCCGCACCATGTCCAGATGTTCGAATCTGAGCAGGTTCCGTGGCTTCAACAAGTGGAAGCAGTCTGCCTTAAGAATCATTGCGACGCTCCTAGCGGAAGAGAGACCAAGACTACCTGTTTGTTTGTTTGATTGTTTGTTTGTTTGTCCTCATTATATATCCTAATCGAAGCCTGAAATCCTTGACAAAGTTTCGCACAGCCTTGATCAGTATTGCGCTGCAAGCTGCATTGCAAGCCAGGGCAAGGGATAACATGGGATGAGTTGTTTCCGATTTGTCAAGCAGAGGAACAGGCGAAGGTGCCATGATGAGTCGCCTGGACCAACACAGGACCCTTCAATGTAAACACATTATTATTACTAAAATTATTGATATTACTATTGTTATATATATATACGTTAAGAATTGATAGCTAAAGAAGTTTTTATGCAACCACTCGAAAATTGAGTATTTCTGAACTTTAAGTGAGGAGGCTGTTAGTTCCGCTGTGTCATGGGTTCTTACCTTTCTTCTTGTTTCTGAATCGTTTGAGTGAGGCCAGCATGCTTCCGGAGAGTGAGAACAACACGGCTCGCGACTTCTTTTTGGCCCTGGACGTAGAGTGCCGGGGGCAGGTCCCTCGGAAGCAGCTGGTGCCATCATTCCATGCTTTGAATATGAAGAAGCCTCGCGTGCGCCCATCGGGCAGCAACACGTAAAACTGAACGCTGGAATTTACCGGAAGACAAAGGAAGTCAGTGACACCAAAACTGAAAGAAGCTGGTTACATGGTAGAGGCAATGTAGAGGCTGCGAGGTTTGGCAAGCGGTTGAGAAAGGTGTGAGAGAGTGAAAAGAGGTGAACAGTGAGACGGAAAATCACGCAAAGCCGCAAAACGGCATTTATCTGATGGGGTCATGAGGCAAAAAGATGTTCATAAGGCAAAAGGAATGGACACAGGCGAAACGGCTTTTCGATGAGGCGGGAGGCATATATGGAAGTTGAAGTCATCTCCGTTTGTGAAAGTGCCCGCCTCTAGAATCTAGAGAGCATGATGGCACGTAACCAACAAGCCAACAGGGCTAAGGCTTACGGCTAAGGCAAGGAATGAATGAAGGGACAGGCTAGAAACTGCAATGGACATTCCACAATGCACGAGGGAAAGAATGAAAGCTAAAACGAGTCCAGTACTGCACAGAATGGCTGTTGCGGAAGGTATTTCAGGCACGTCAATGCATTGGTCACTTTGTGTGTCCCAGCTGGATCTGCAGGTTGTGAGGGGTTCAATTAGGCAAAGCTGGTTGGCCTAGCCGTTGGAGTACTGCTGGGTATTGAGCAATATCCTGGAATTTCTTGGTGCTAGCCACCTGCTCATTTCTTCCACGCCCAGCTGAGGTTGCTTGGGAGTCCTTTTGCGAGGCTGAGCCGTCTTCGAGGTTTTGGAGTTTTGATGAGTTTTGAGTTATTGAGAGTTGCTTCCGCATAACTTTGAGTGAAGTTGGTACCATGATAGGCCTGGTGCCTCCAAGGCAAACTTAACTAAATTAAAGCAAATTCTGAGTTAATAAGTTAAACTACAGTAAGTTAATTTAGATCACAGAACTAAAATGAACTAAATTGACTTCACTCAACTCAGCTCACCCGCTGCGAACTCCGCTC